ACCATATAGTACTTACCAATGTTTATATTATATCCACATATTTATTTATCAAAAATATTACTACTACCACAACAACCCACAATCAAATTAATGAGGTGCTCTTTTGGACCGACTAGAATATTCATGTTATAAAAATTATAACACCTTAATTGGTCAGTCTCCCACTAAATCAACTCTTGGTGTGAAATAAATTAGAAACTAATATTCTCCTACAACTTATAAAGTTTAGCTTAATACATAGTCATTCTCTAATTTTACGGATATTTAATCTAGACATTCAAATTAAATCTGATTATATTTTATTTGTGTATCTTAATATTAATAAAGTGTTTCAATTAAATAATTTTGATTATTATTTTTTGTGTGTGTTCTCGTTCTTCTATTAGGTTGTTTAGTTAACCACATAAAACATGACATCTTCTTTAATTATGCATATTCATCTCAATAAGTCGTAAAACTTTACATAATTTCTACTGGAGATTGACACATAATTAAAAAAAATCTTAAATTTGAGCTTATAAAAATAGAAAAAATCTTAATGAGTGTGTCACATATAAATCATACAATGCATAAATTTAATTTTAATCGCATCTCAATATAATTATCAACATTTAGGCGGAAACCATCCAAAAAAAAATAAAAATAAAAAATTGGACCAACTGAGATTCAACCTTTTGTGTATTTAACGCACGAGTGTTCCTATTATTTATATTTCTTTATTTACATGAAAAAGTTTAATTTGCATTCATTGAACTATCCATAGCATGCGCCGCGCTTTCGTGGCTAGTCATGTGCTTTTTTGGTTTCTTCCCTGTCAACAACTATCTTTCATTTCTTTTTTAACATTCCTTTTTCATTTAAAATTATATATTCTATATATATAATTTCGTTTTTTTTTTTCATAGCTTAATTTATTGTGAGTTTTGCCAGAATTCTTTCCTTATTGATTAGCTGATGATTATTATTATTTAAAATAATACTAATGAACCGTATATTTATAGGTATATTGTTTTTGCTGTTGATTTTATTGATTCTCCATTACCATTCCTAGACACGTGTCATTTTTATACACAAAAATAAAACTTATATTGAGTTTATGAATTTCAGATTCTATTAAAGTTAACTTATTAGATTTTGGATAAATTATTTATATGTATTAAATAATTTTTAATAAAAATACAACGTCTAAGCTAAGTCATTGGGTTATGTCAAAATCGTAAGCATAATTAGGGTTTGATAGTTAGAGTTCTATTTCTAGAAAGAAAGAGACTATCGAGAAGCTTACTCTTGGCCGAGCTCGATGCAGTAATATCTCCTTGGTCTCTTCCACGGATCGATGAATATGAAATAGAATAAATTCAAAAATATCACCGATATACTGTGATTCATACCAAAAAAGAGCCAAACATTAGTTTCGCTTTTGCTTGTTCATAGGTGACTCTTTTTTCAAAGAAGTATGTCCAATTAGACAGTAATGGGAAACTTTTTAGGTGTGATTGTAATTGTGAATAAATAGTAGAAATTATGAAAACTAAATTATTTAAGTGGTAGCAAGATTGACAACAATTTCATAATTTGTTGTCAAGAAAAGAATCACGTAATAGAATGGGTGAGGACTACCCTCATTTCTTACCCATATCTATTTCCTAGTTAATTTTTGAGCTATTAATTGATTCAAACATGTAATCAAGAACCAGATTTTATTAGGGTATTTACTTTGATAGTGTATTTTCATATTAGTACTACTCCCTCCGTCCACAATTGTTTGTCAGGGTAAGGTCATGCACATCCCTCAAGGAAAATTTAATACAAGGTGTAATTTGACTAATATAACCCTACTATATCAAGAATATCAAAAGTCCATATAACTTTTCAATTGAACTACACAATCATTAAGGGCAGAATTGGAAAAAAGTGACTAATTATTTCTTGATTGTTTAAATTGACAATTAATCTTGGACATCTATTTTTAGTATACCTGCCAAACAATTGTGGACGGAGGGAGTACTAATTAGGTGACTTATAAACAACTGATCAATTTCTTGGAATCAGATCTTGATAAGTAATTTATATACTTTGCAACTTTTAGAATCCAATCGAGTACTTATTTTTATAATAGATGATATCAAGTATAAAAATGAAATTCAAATTATTTAGCGATAAAGAAAATAAACCTTGAGTTTGATCTCAAATATTAGTTTAAAAGGTGTGTATTGCACAAAGCCATACAAGAAAAGAAATTGACATCCCACTCATCAACGAGGACTATTAATGTTAGATTAGGTCTTAGGTCTAACTCACACCCCAAAAGCTAGCTCAAAAGGAGGAGGATTGCACAAGCCTTATAAGGAGTTCACCCATCTTATTAACCACCGATGTGGGACTTTTGTCATTCTTTAACAATTAACATTCTCGCATGTTCAAGTTTGGCAACTTCACATCGATCGGATGCAAAAAGAATTGGTTCACGTGATCGATACCATGATAAAAAATTGATTTTGGGATATATTTAAATTAACCACATGAAAATCAAACTTAAAAGATAATTGTTCAAAATCATATAAGAAATTGTTATCCCACGATACTGATATGGAACTACTAACACATGGAAAACGTACGTGATCTTATTAAGGGATCAATTCCAATCAATTATCACAATAAAAAGGCTAGAAATTATCTTAATTTGAAGTTCACTTGGTGGAGAATAAGGAGATGGAGAAGTTTTTTGTAATAATATAATCAGCGTGGTCCAATCACAAACGACATTGGATGGTCACTTTACAACTTCTTTACACAACCAAGATTTTCCAATTGATAATTAATTTTGGTCCAACTATTAAATGTTTGTAGTAACTAAATTCAATTACTTAAAATAGTGATTAGATATATAACTTTATAGTAGTAGTAAAAGTAGTATATATGACCAAAAAACTAATTTAGGCGGCTTAGCGTCCCAGTTCTATGACATGTAGCACTTGACAAAGATATCAAAATTAATTTGGACATCAAACGTACTATATACTGGAAGTCAATGATTTTGGCTTTTGGATTAAAAAGTGTGAAAATAGATCTAATCAGATTTTCCCCCATTAATTAATCAGAAAATTGATTTTTGAAAACCAAAACGCCCCTCTCAAATGGTGATTTGGTAAACAAAAAAAAGTTTCAAAAAATGAAAAACAAATGCTAAAAGAAGCATTATATTTTGTTCTTTTTATTCAACCGATTCTGAGAGTTTGAAAATGGAAGTAATCATTTTAATATATATAATAATAATAATAATAATGTCTAAAGTGGACTGTTGAGTGGCTCTCCTATAGGCATGCTAAATACTTAGTAGTAATAGGGAAATAAGATGGTCCAGTAGAGTTACCAAAATGGTAAAAGGCGATAGCTGAGTATGCACTCCATTTACTCATTTTTTGCCTATATGTGTCTGTTTCCCATCTTTACCACTATATCTTTTTCCTCTTCAACATCAACACTATGATATTTACCTTTTATGGTGATGCGAATTCTTCTTCTTGTATTGGGGGGATGAGCACCTATATGACATAACATGCTTCCTGCTTAAAAGAATCGCTAATACAAATTTGAATAACGTTTACAAATCGCTTTTTTGACTTTTATCTTTAAAATTTAGTTATTGTTATTAAATCTACCATTACTTGAAATTCGATTACACATACTATTGTTATCATTAACCTCTATTAATTGATAGAGTCTCAAATATATTTGCTCACTACATTTTTCAAAAATGTTAAGTTAATGTTAATAAAATATTTGACAAATAAATCGAGATAGAAGGAGTAATTAACCGGCCTTTTTTTATATTTTGTTTCTACACCCCATATCGCGGGCCCCACCACAAATCTTTGTATCTAAATAATTAACGAAAAAAGAACTCATACAGTCATTTTATGAAATGAATGAATTTGGGAATTTACCTTTGACAGGAAAAAGAAGTAAAACTTTTGACGATTAGTCCATTTTTATCCCTTAATTAAATACTAAATAATGTTAGAGAGAGAGATCACGATAGATGGCAGTTTCAGGATTTTCCCTTATCTTATATCCAAATATTCCGCTTGAGTTTCGTCTCTGATCAGCTAAACTGGACTTATTTGGTTTAACAAAATTTGTATCACACGCAATAAAAAGCCTCATCTATTTTGTAAGCAAAAGATAAGATAAAAGCAAAATAAAGAAGATAAACTCTTAACCATAATCATTTTGTTAAGAAAACAATTTTAATTGATACAAAAAGCCAACGGTGCACTTCCAAGGAATTCAGTGTGATGCTTAAAATTCATTTATTCTTAATCAAATTTTTTTAAATAGATAGAAAAATCTAATTTTTTTTCTATGGACTTTGCCATTACAAATCTAAATTAAGCTAAACGAGTTCAAAATATGAATGATTAAAGCTGATTAAACCAAACAAAGCGGGGCGCAGTTGCTTATTTTACACCCAACCTAATGGACCCATCCCTAAAACATTCTTAGCCAAAAAATTACTAATAAGTGGCACTAACAAAGATGGGTCATCTCTTTGATTAATTAACAACCCAATTCAATTAATACAGACACCTAAACAACTCATAAACTTTTTTTTAAAAAAATAGTCTCTTTCTGTCCACACAACACATGATCTAACTTCCCCGGAAACCCCTCAAATATTCCTAGCAATCAATTCAATTTCCCCATCATTCTTTGTAACAAAAAAACAAAACATTTTCAAAAAATTAAATATTCAAAAAAAAAATACTCATATTATATATAATATTTATAAGAACTTGGGAGCTCTAAAGGAATTAGCAGTTCAACAAGAAGAGAGAAGAATAAGATTTTTTTTTTTCCTTTGGTAAGCTAGTTATTTTGTAACCGATAATATCAGAAAAAACTAAAAAAAAGGAGTCTTTCAAATTAAGTTACTGCTATTTCTCACCTATATATAGAGTTGTTTATTCGTACAGAGAAAAAAGTTTGACTTTTTAATCAAGACCTCTTCTCTGTTTGTTTTTGTTGTCAAATGTATCAGGTAAACTTTGATTTCTTAATTAGCAGGTGAAAACACCCCTTCTTCCTCCATCTTCTTCAATAATTCTCGATTATCATAAAATGGTGAGTCTTTTTTTTTTTTTTTGGTCTCTGAATACTGTTCTATTGAATTCTTGGAACTCTGTTCTTCAAAATTTCTCAGCAAACAAAGAAATTTGTTACCATTTCTGTATGTATATGTTTTGTAAATTAAATTTGCAGGAGAATATGGGTGTTGAGAAACAGAGACTATTTGAAGAAAAGGGTGTTTGTGTTTCTGATCATATGAATGGATTGCAATACACAAGCACAAAATCAGATAGCTTTGTTGTGGACATGGAACGATTTTCTCATATCATAGAGAAAGACATAAATGCCAATTCAAGAATTACTGTATGTTTCTCTTTTTCATTTTTTGGTCTCTGTTTTTCTCTGAGTTTTTATTCATACTCCTGACAAGTTCTTGATTCAATTCACAATTTGATTCAAGTTTATCCTAATCTTAACCCCCTTTGTTAAAGTAGTGAGAAAAGAACTCATTATTGGTCAATTTTTGTTTACTAGGACTAGTCTTAACAACTACTGATATATTTAATTTATTTTTATTTTTATAAAAAGATGGACCTCATGAAGAAGATGAAGATAGATTTTGAAACTTTGGAGAATACCCCAAAAGTTTTAGTATATGATTTTTTAGGGTTAATATTTGAAAATTCATCAAATTTATCATTAAAATCACTCAATTTACATCTTGGTTTCAATAAAATCATTCAACTAAAATTTATCATTAAAAAATTGATATAACAAAATAAATTATTTTTAAGTCATATTTATATGAACTCCACAAGAATAAAATTAAAGAAAAATCATCAGAAAAAACTTATGAATAAACTTAATTAGTGAAATAAATACTATAATATTATTATGTATTTAAGAGTTAAAATGTATGACGATGAACACTATTCAAAAATAAATATTAAGTATGATATTATCATTGGCTTAATGACTGCCACAATTTTTTTGTAACTCGTCAAGTTTTTATTAACCCAGTGACCGCAACAATTTAATGTTACAGTTATTAAGCTAATGTTATATCAATTTTTTTTTATATGACAGTGATATATCCTACAATTTTTGTTAATGACAACTTTTTACGGTTCTTTTTTTAAAAAAGAAAAATATCCATTACAATACATTTTAAATTTAAATATATTGTAATATCAAAACATAGTTTGTTCTTGAATTTTTTCTATGAGTTTTCTTTAATTTTATTTATTCGTGGAGTTCATATTAATGACATAAAAATAATAAATTTAGTTCAGTGATTTTACTGATACAAAGGACTAACATGAGTCACTTTACTGATACAAAATAAAATTTAATAACTTTACTAGATAAATTCTGAAAGTTGAGTGACTTTTTGAAATATTAACTCATGATTTTATTGGGATCTTTACAATTCACTGTTACTTTTTCTAGTTGGTAATTTAAATTATACATTAAATATATATATATATGTTGGCTATTTTTAATTTAAAATATTGCTATATTTTTTTCTGATATGAATTTGATTTTCCAAAGTTGCAGAGGAACCTTTCAAGAAAAGGATCATTTCGAAGCGGCGAGAAGAAAACAAATTCAAATGCTGTCAATGAGAAAGACACCAACTTCACGGAAAATTCCCCTAGAGGTAATACTTTTCTTTCTCTTTATTTATTAATACATATATATAGTTTCGGTTAACTTATTTGAATGGTGTAATATATATATAAAAAAAAAAACAAAGAAGTGTTAAAAACAAAAACAATCATTAAATTTGTATTCGTCTACCTGCGTTTCTGTTCTTTTACTAAGGTATTTAATAGTCAAAAGTGAAAGGAAAAGACTATATAATATGACCCCTTCGATATTTTCTCAAAATTAGAACACTTCCAAATTAAAAGGAATCGGATTCTTCTCTACATTTATTATTCCTTGTACTAGTTTTTGATCGTTTTATATCATGTCAATTTTTTTCGTTTTAATTTATATGATCGTATTTATGCTACGACCATGCCTAAACATGTGCCACGTAGCTATAACACATAGTACCAAACAATAATAAATTCTCAATCAAACAGAAGATCCATGTGGGGAAATCCGCTCTGTTCTTTTTGTCTTTTCATATGGCAGTATTACAAGATACAGACTTTGTTCCTACAATTATTTAATGAGAAATCATTCTATTTCTATTTTTTTTATTAGTTATAGATGTGCTAATACGCCATAAGTTCATAATCAATATATAAACTTTCAGAGCCTTCATTTTCATCTTTTTTTTTAGGGTGTAAAATAACTAAAAATCTAAGATTTAAAATCGGTGAATTTGAAATGAACACAATAATATACGTAGAGTTCAAGTCAGAAGCAGCAAGTGCGACTATACTCATTATTAATAATTTATTACATAATGCAATGGGTCCAATTAAAGTTCATATGGTCCGCTTGAAGCCTATGATGTCAACATTTCTTATGAAAATTTAGGTTAAAGCTTTTGTTAATCTTGTAGCTAGATATTGTGAAATTAAGTCTTACACCTAACTCACACCTCAAAAGCTAGCTCAAAGGAAGGAGAATTGTCCAAGCCTTATAAATAGTTATCTCATTAACCATCAAGGTGGGACTTTTTGCGTTTAACATCCCACCTCACACCCAGTGCTTAGCATTGGTCCGTGGGTAATTTTTGATTATTTTTTTTGGGTCCCAACATAGGATGAGATGAGTCTTACTCTGATATCATGTGAAATTAGGTCTTAGATCTAACTCACACCCCAAAAGCTAGTTCAAAGGGAAGAGGATTGTCAAGCCTTATAAGGAGTCCATTCATCTCATTAACCATTAATGTGGAACTTTTTGCTTTTAACAGATATATACTACTCTCTCTCTTTAAAAAAGAATGACCTAGTTTCCTTTTAAGTCTGTTTAAAAAAGAATGACTTATTTCTTTTTTTGGCAATACTTTAACTTCAACTTTTCACGTGGCATGTTTAAGGCCACAAGATTAAAGGGCATTTTGGTACATTTGACATAACTTTTTAGAACCACAAGATTAAAAAATCTTTTTTCTTTTCTGAAACTCCGTTCCAAGTCAAACTAGGTCATTCTTTTTGAAACAGAGGAAATAATTAATTAATAATATGAAGATACAGAGCGTCGGTCCTTTTTGTTTGCATACATTATTATTTTAAAAAAAGGGTTGCACATGCATCAAAATTATTGAGTGATAAAGAACCAATTAAGCCAACATATACTTATGGGGTATAGTATATTCTAATTGTTTATTTTTAAAATGGAATTAAAAATGCAGCAAGTTCATTGCTAGGAGGAGGTATCACACCAGAAAAGCCCATGGCATTGACTACTAGTAGTGATCAACATACCCCACAAACCCATAATCATCAGATCACTATAGTGGCCGGCCATGGTGCCGCTGCCGCCGCCACCGAAAGTAAAATTGGTGGCAGGAGATTCAGTTTCCGACGATCTACTAATTGGACCATTGATCCTAGGAGGATCCTTCTCTTCTTTGCTACATTGTGAGTTTTTCTCTTTAACTTCTTTACATAAGTGGTATATAATAATATTTGTTACGAGTTTAAGTTATATGCACAAAGTTTTGAGTTGAGTGATTTAATTGTTATAAAATAAAGTTCAATGACTTTGCTAGATAAATTCACATAGTTGAGTGACCATTTAAGATATTAACTCAAGAATTAATGGGTTACCTAGTAAAAATGATAACTAAAACTCTGATTTTATCTTTAGTGAGATTTCATATTTGTTAAGATCAGTTTTAGACAACACATTTCATAAGTGTTTTTTTTTTCTTTCTTAAACATCGTGTCATGATGTGAAACACAATCACATAAATTAGAACAGAGAGAATATATGCTATAACATGATGTTTAAATGCACTAGTAATTAACATCAGTTGGAGTGACTTAAATTGTAGACTAACAATATTTTGTTGCTTAATTTATCTAATATGATGGTACCCTGTCTTTGACAGGTCAAGTATGGGAACAATGTTATTGATTTATTTTACATTATCCATTGCCAAGCTAAATGGAGAAGACATTGCAGATCTTAATGGTTGATATATATAAAGCATGAAGAAGGCACTAGCTAGTTCTAACTCAGAAGCCTGTATATTATATAAATGTAGAAGCTGCAGAAGAGACATGAGCATAACAAAGTTTCAAAAGAGAAGAACAGAAAGCTATCATGACAAATCTTGGCAATATTCTGTTCTAATGAGTGGCACAGATCACAAACAAATTTGTACCTTTTCTTTGTTAGGTTCTCTTTTTGTAATATTTGACGAGCTCTCCTTTTTTAGAGTTTAAGTTCTATCAATGTAAAAAATTAAAAAAGTACTCAATCGAGTTACTTTAAGTTAATTACAATTAATATTTTATAATAACTTACAGGATACTATAGATTAAATTATATATTACTTCAAATCATGTGTGTAACCACATGCCTCCCACTCATTTTTGTTCAAAGCCCTATTGTTTCTTTATGTTCTCTGCAGCTTTAGTACAGGGCACATATACTATGACTTTGATCTGAATAGTACTAATAAAACATTGTTAGTGGAGCATGATGGCATGGCACAGAATATTTAGAATAAATATTTCTACTTAAAAGTAGGCATATATAGGAGCAGTGCACATTTATCAAACTAGATACTGATTGGGAAAAAATGTTCTCACAAGTATTAATCCATCCTTATTTGACTTAATGATTTCTGCAAATATGTATGTAGTTGTAAGAGGTTCAGTAACTTTTAATTAAGCTAATTAGGATTTAGGAGTAGAATTAAAGAAAAAAGACAAATAAAAACATATAATTAAGCTAAATATGATTGAGATTATGTTTTAGGCTTTTAAGGAACTGTTAGCATGATGGACAACTAAATGATTGTATATATTAATGTAATTATATAGTGATATAAATTAGCATGATCATATACATTTGGTGTAGAATCAAAGGAATAAATATTGTGATAGAATAACTGATTTGGAGGGATAGCAAGGCATATTTAGAGGGATTGAATAGCAGATTTGTAGAGATAGAATAGCTGATCTTTAGGGATAGGAATGGCGGATCTTTAGGGATGTGTAATCTTTATTTTCTCTATATAATGGAAAGACTCTCACTTTGAGAGGCATTAAGCAGAAAATTGACATGGTATTAGAGCCTTCTCTTGGCTGTCTTGTTTCATAGAGTCATCTATGGTTCCTTCTAATTTTTTTTTGAAAATCTTGGTTTTTGGTTGACTGTTCATCGACAATCAGTCCTATCACCTGGGAATTTTGTTCTTGGTCATTCTAGTTGCTTTCTTGAGTCTTTGTAGTTTTCATAGCTATTCAAAAAACATGAATTCACATCACTTTGAATCCTTTAGTGTTCGTTTTACTGGAAAAAATTCTTCTTCTTGGGAGTTTCAGTTTCAGTTGTTTGTCACCAGCAAAGAACTATGGGGCCATATAGATGGAAGCGATCCTGCTCCTACTGATGCAACAAAGCTAGGTGAATGAAAGATCAAAGATTCTCGGGTGATGACATAGATTCTAGGGTCAATTGACCTTCTTATTGTTCTTAATCTCAGGCCATACAAGACAGCTAAGGCCATGTGGGATTACTTACAAAAGGTTTACAACCAAGATAATAGCGCAAGACGCTTTCAGTTAGAGTATGAAATTTCTAATTACTCTCAAGGAGGTCTTTCTATTCAGGATTATTTTTCTGGATTTCAGAATTTATGGGCTGAATGTACATATATTGTCTATGTCAAAATACCTATTGAATCTCTATCAGTGATTCAGGCAGTTCATGAGCAAAGCAAGCGAGACCGATTTTTTATGAAATTACGCTCCGACTTTGAGAGTGTTCGCTCTAACTTGATGAATCGTGACCTGTCTTCTTCTTTGGATGTTTGCTTTAGGGAATTACTTCGTGAAGAGCAACATCTTGTCACACAAAATGCTTTCAAGAAAGAAAATGATGTCACTGTTGCATTTGCTGCTCAAGGTAAAGGAAATGGCAGGGATATGAGTAGAACTCAATGCTATAGTTGCAAGGAATATGGTCATATTGCTAGCAATTGTAGCAAGAAATTCTGTAATTATTATAAACAACAAGGACACATTATTAAAGAGTGTCCCACGCGCCCTCAAAATCGTAGGATCAATGCTTTTTAAGCTGGGATAAATGGTTCCACTAATGATAACCCATCTTCAGGACAAGTTCTTACTTCTGAAATGGTACAACAAATGATCGTGTCAGCCTTTTTAGCATTGGGATTACAAGGTAATGATGGTACATCTAATTTTTGGATTGTTGATTCAGGTGCTTCCAATCACATGACCAACTCAACGAGCATCCTAAAAAATATTTGTAAGTATCAAGGTCCATCACAAATACAGATTGCCAATGGTAGTAATTTACCCATTACCAAGGTTGGGGACATTACTCCAACTTTCAAGAATGTTTTTGTTTCACCAAATCTCTCAACTAGTCTTATTTCAGTTAGACAATTGGTAGATAACAATTGTGATGTGATGTGAATTTTTCTCGTAATGGTTGTCTTGTGCAGGATCAGGTGTCAGGGACGATAATCGCGAAGGGGCCTAAAGTTGGACGATTGTTTCCTATACACTTTTCCATTCCTCCTATTCTATCTTTTTCTTGTACTTCTACTGCTAGTAAGACTGAGATTTGGCATAAGCGTCTAGGACATCCAAATTCTGCTGTGTTGTCTCATTTATCAAATTCTGGTTTATTGGGAAATAAAAATCAATTTTCAGTTTCTTCCATTGATAGTTCTACTTGTAAATTAGGCAAAAGTAAAACTCATCCTTTTCCTAATTTTGGTAGTCGTGCTACCAAATGTTTTGATGTCTTTCATAGTGATGTTTGGGGAATTTCACCAATTATTTCTCATGCTCATTTCAAATACTTTGTGACATTCATAGATGATTATAGTCGGTTTAAATGGGTGTATTTTCTTCGATCCAAATCTGAGGTATTTTTCATGTTCAAGACATTTTTGGCTTACATTGAGACTCAATTTTCTACATGCATCAAATTATTAAGATCTAATTCTGGTGGAGAATATATGTCTTATGAATTCAAAAAATTCTTGCTTGACAAAGGAATTGTCTCACAACACTCTTGCCCATATACACCACAACAAAATGAAGTTGCTGAGCGAAAAAATGGTCATCTTTTAGATGTCACTCGTACTTTATTGATTGAGTCCTCTGTACCAGCTAAATATTGGGTGGAAGCTTCGTCTACTGCTTTCTATTTAATTAATAGATTGCCATCTAAAGTGCTAAATTTTGAGTCTCCATATTTTCGTCTTTGTCACCAAAATCCTAACTATAGTGATTTTCATACATTTGGTTGTGTTTGTTTTGTGCATTTTCCTCTTTCGCAGCGCAATAAACTTTCTGTACATTCTACTAAATGTGCTTTTATGGGTTATAGTACTTCACAAAAAGGTTTTATTTGTTATGATTCATGTTCTCACAAATTTCATATTTCTAGAAATGTTGTTTTCTTTGAGAATCAATATTTCTTTCCTACGATTGTAGATCCATCTTATGTTTCTCCTCTTCTTCCTACTTTTGAGGATTTATCATCTTCTTTTAAAAGGTTCAAACCTGGATTTGTGTATGAACGACGTCGGCCAACTTTATCCTATCCCAACATTGATCCACCACCTTAAACTATACCACAACTAGAATCTGAGAATTCGTCAAGATCTGGTCCTCTTGAGCCTACTCGGCGATCTACCAGAGTATCTCGTACTCCCAATTGGTATGGCTTTTCCTCTACTTTATCTAACATATTTGTTCCATCTTGTTACTCACAAGCTTCCAAGCATGAATGTTGGCAGAAAGCAATGGAGGAAGAACTTTTGGCTATTAAAGAAAATTACACATGGGACATTGTTTCATGTCCTTCAAATGTCCGCCCTATTGGATGTAAATGAGTTTATTCAATCAAACTTCATTCTGATGGATCTCTTGATCGGTACAAAGCTCGATTGGTTGTTCTTGGTAACAGACAAAAGTATGGAGTGGACTATGAGGAAACTTTTGCACCCGTAGCCAAAATGACTACGGTGCGAACTATTATTGCCATTGCTGCTTCACAAAACTGGTCTTTGTATCAAATGGATGTCAAAAATGCTTTTCTCCATGGTGATCTTAAAGAAAATATTTATATGAAACCTCCACCTGGTTTGTTCTCATTGCCTACATCAGATATATGCAAGTTGAAGCGGTCTTTGTATGGATTAAAACAAGCTCCAAGAGCTTGGTTTGATAAGTTTCGGTCTACTTTACTACAATTTTCTTTTGAGCAAAGCAAATATGACTCATCTTTGTTTCTTTGGAAAACATCTACAGGTTGTGTTCTTCTTTTGGTGTATGTAGATGACATTATTATCACAGGAACTGATTATTCACTAATCATAGCCTCCAACAGCAGCTTAAAGATTCTTTTCATATGAAAGATTTTGGTACTCTTACTTATTTTTTGGGTTTGGAAGTTCATAATGTTGCTTCAGGTGTGTTTCTAAACCAATACAAATATACTCTGGATCTGATTTCTTTGGCTGGTCTTCAAGATTCATCCTCTATAGATACTCCATTGGAATTGAATGTGAAGTATCGTCGTGAGGAAGGCGATCTTCTTCCTGATCTAACTATATTTCAACAATTAGTTGGGAGTCTAAATTACATTACTATTACTCGGCCTGATATCTCATTTGCAGTTCAACAAGTTAGTCAATTTATGCAAGCTCCCCGTCATCTCCACTTGGTGGATGTTCGTCGCATCATTCGATATCTTCTAGGAACATCTACTCGTGGATTGTTCTTTTCAAGTGGTTCTCCTATTCGTTTTAATGCTTTTAGTGATTCTGATTGGGCGAGATGTCCTGATACTCGTCGTTCAGTATCTGGTTGGTGCATGTTTCTTGGAGAGTCATTGATATCTTAGAAGAGTAAAAAGCAAGATCGTGTGTCAAAATCTTCAACAGAGGCTGAATATCGATGCATGTCTACTACTTGCTCTGAGGTTGTATGGCTTCGTGGATTACTTGTTGAGATTGGATTTCCTCAATCTCATCCTACTCCTCTCCACGCTGACAATATAAGTGCTATTCAGATTGCTACTAATCCAGTTTTTTATGAGAGGACCAAACACATCGAAGTGGATTGTCATTATATAAGAGAAGTTGTAGATAAAGTAGTCATTACTCTTCCACATGTGTCTAGCGATCTTCAAATAGCTGATGCAGTTACAAAATTCATGGCACGGCAACGCCATCAGTTTCTAGTTGGCAAATTGATGCTTCTTGATCCACCAGCATCAATTTGAGGGGGGG